CAGACTAATCATCAAACCATAACTAATGATGATTCTCACTCGGCGTAAGCCCGTGAGATTCATTACACCGAAATTATATATTTCGAGAAAAAAAAGATAGAAATAATAATATTATAAAATAATAATAGAATAGATAAGTTTCATAGACAGTTTTACTTTAAGCAAATGACTCATTCATAGCTTATATTTTCTGCAGGTGTCTATCGACATGCAAAGTATATTTCATATTACATATAATATACAAACACAACATATTATTACGTTACAATATAATTAAAGTTTCTTAGAATTTCCAACTCGATGCTATCAGTTGGCAGTCCTCAGACAACGTGTCGCCTCGCTAAATAAAGAACTTACCTACCACTTACCGTATGTACGTACAGACTTCTGACATGTAAACGTTCTCGCCTGTTCATTATGAGTATCTGAATTTGCTTAAACTATTGATATTCCGGGTTTGAATCCCGTTTGGAATTAATATTTTGGCATTACTTATGAATACACTAGCGACTTACCCTCGCTTCGCTCGAGTGTTATCTAAATGGATAATATGTTACTTCAGGTCATATCTTATCTGTGTACTAAATTTTATCAAAATCCGCCCAGCTGTTTCAGCGTGAAGGAGTAACAAACAAACATACATATTATACAAAATCGCATACGTAAAAGTAATCCAATTATAAATAAATAAATATGTTGGGACATTAATACACATCACCATCTTGTTCCATGGTAAGTTATGAGGCCTGTGTTATGGATACCAGACAGTTGATACACTACACATATATAACTTTAAATACATACATATTATAAATATAAACACTCATAACCGGATTACAACATTCGTGCTCATCACACAAATGAATGCCCGCAGCGAGACTCGAACCCACGACCGCTGGCACAGCAAGTAGTCACTACAAATTGGGGGTCACTGCAAACTGAGCCAAACGAGCCAAAACTGAGAGCTGCCTATGTCAATATACATTGTACATATCGCTACAAACAAAATTGCGTGAACCACATACCTACCTTATATTCTAACAAATTGTAAATTATATTTACATTATCCCATTCTGAATGGTCGTCTTGTTACAATTTCTATTTTCATTTCTATTATCCTTATCACATATAGAATAAGATTCAATTTACCAAATTATACTGCTTTTTACATAATAGATTAGCCGTGTGTACAACATTAGCTTATTGTTATTGATACAATGTAAAATATTAGTTTATGCTAATACAGTATATATTTTGAGTTGAAAATAATCAAGATTAACTTTTAAGGTCGATGTTAAGAGGATAACTCTTGTATTGACACTTTAAATGTCACGATTTGAAACTAGTGATGTCCAAGTACTATCCTGCTATATTTTATACCGGGATAATATGTATTTATATATACCACACCAGCGAGTCATCCTCGCTTTTCGGGTTCGTCCCTAGCTACGTTTTAACGTACATATTACATAATATGTGGATAAAGGAAAGTAGGTAAGTACATTAAAAATAAAATGTATATCCCTTACTTAAGAAACAATTGATTTCCCATAAAAACTTCCACCTAACTTTTCACACCTTTATGGGATGATTTCCGGAATAAAAATTATCCTACGTCCTTCGGACGGTTTCAAACTACATATCTTCATACTAATTTTTTTCTAAACCGGTTCAGCGGATTAGGCGTGGAAAGGTAACAGACAGACAGAGTTACTTTCGCATTTATAATATTAGTATGGAAGTACGGATTTGTTATGGTTGACTAGTTTAGCCCGTAGCTTTGCATGCTACGTATTACTATGATAATGTGTAATTATAAGATACTAGCGACTAACTCTCGCTTCGCTCAGGTTCGTCTCTAGCTTGCTTCCCCATACAATATTTCATCCCCATTCTCACCCCGTTAAAGGATGATTTTCGGGATAGTAAGTATCCTATGTCCTTCCTAGGGTCTCAAACTATCTCCTAACCAAATTTCATCTAACTCGGTACAGTAAATCCAGAGATTACCCCCTACAACGTCACAAACTCACAAACTTTACCTCTTTATAATATTAGTATAGATAGTGCAACTGCCTCGGTGGCTAGCATGTACGGCTGCACACTCGGAGGTCCTGGGTTCGAGTCCCGAGTCGGGCCAAGTTTAGTTATTGAGTTTTTCTGTATAGTAAGCCTCAGTGACAGCCCGGAGTTGGGAAGTTGGTGGTGTTTCACCCCCGTGCCTCGGAGAGCACGTAAAGCCGTCGGTCCTGCGCCTTAACTCTCACTGGTCGTGTCGAGCAGTCGTCCCACCGGAGTATGAGAGTGACAGGAATAGAGAGTGCACGTTGTGTCTGCGCGTACACTTGTGCACTATAATATCTCCTGCGCAGTTGGCTAGTCTCAATGAGATTGGCCGCCGTGGCCGGAATCGGCTAGGAGAACATCATCATAGATAGTGTAGATATCCCTTAATAGATAGACACTATTAGTACTCGAATCTTGTTAAAACAGACTATTTATTACAAAAGTCCCTGATAATAAGTTCAATGAATGACGTTTGTCGGCCGAAATATCCGCTGATAGCATCGTGTAGAGCCGCACGTACGCACTATGCACTACAAGCTCGAGGAAAAACACTATTTACTGGAAATGTTTACTGAAGCATTTATCAGGGCCACGATTTTAAAGATAGCACAGTCCCTATAAATAAATTATAGGAAACGTGGTTTTTATGGCTTACCTTAGTGTTTGGAACTAAACCTTTCTTTTATAGCTTTTTAAAAATATATATGGTACAAAGGAACTCATAACACTACGATGGAAGTAGCAGATTCCATTCAAAACATAAAATATATTTTATTTTTAATCAACAGCGAAATTCTTCGCCCAATAACAATAGATAAGATTAATGTGGTAGGTAAGTAAAAATTAAATATTATTGAAAATATTTCATTTTATAGGTACTTTGTTATTTAACACATTAAGGGTAATTTCACCCAATGAAATATATTTTATTTTAATGTTTTTAAATATTACTTAAGTTTAGCAAACATCCGATTGTACAGTTTGACGTTTTCCAAACATATATAAGAATTAAAGAAGAATATTCTATATCATTTCTACCATATTTCTGCAAATAACCACATTTTCTTTCACTTAATACTCTTAAAGCCACCTCATAGTTGCAATTGGGAACTGACATAACATCTTAAGTTGTTCAAATTGAGCCACATATCGATACCTGATCAGGTCCTTCACCCTTCGCTTCTATCTCTGTCATTCGCATAGAAAACATACTGTCATCTCCCTCTGATCACTGATTACAGTCACGTACCAAAGCTTGGCAAGCGCTCAGTTTTACCACTAATGTTACAGTATATTATTAGAACGAAAGTTGCCATGTAAATTGCTTCTATTGTTTTGAATGGTTAACAGGAGAATAAATAATAATAATAAATAAATAAATATGTTGAGACATTAACACACAGCACCGTCTAATTCCATAGTAAGTTACTAGGCTTGTGTTATGGATACCAGATAGTTGATACACTACACATAATATATTACTTTAAAACATACATATTATAAATATAAACACCCATGATTGGAGTACAGACATTCGTGCTCATCACACATATGAATGCCCTCAGCGGGACTCGAACCCGCAACCGCTGGTACAGCAAGTAGGGTCACTACAGACTGAGCCAAACGTGTTGTCACGGAATGTTTATATATGTCAAAATATAGAAGGTAGTACTTTTATATAATGATAATAGATTTATGATCCCACTGTTGGACACAGACCTGGATATATCCAGACTGGATGCGAGGGGATCAGGTCATACTCCCACTACATGCGGATTGATATCCGTTATGATGGCATGAAAGTTTCCTAAGCAAGCGGTAATCATGTTGAAAGCGGTATTTTCAAATGAAGAATATGAGATGACCAGTGTTTGGCCCTGATTGCTGAATTAGATACATTAAAAGCGTTTAAAATATTTATAATTTGGGATATTATCATTCAAAACATCAGTTGATTCCGGTTGGATGGATTTTAATGAGTTTTTTTTATTTTGCAGTTTTTTTTTCAAATAAGATGATGTGGTTCGGATTTTCCGTTCAACATTTTATAGCATGTAAAAAATTTGTTGTATTTATTTATTACGTTATGTAATACAAGACTGAAATCAATGTCGCTGCCGCTGGTACTGGTTGCTGGTAGCAGTGGACCTTAATCTTATGTTGGTTTTAAAGCGGAGGGTGTCGGTTTGATTGTCATATAGATGTTTGCTCAAGTCTAAAAACCAACGAATTCGGAAAGTAGAAAGGCAAGTTGATGAGTCATGTATGCTAGTTACGTAAGAACTACCTGTACATAATGCATTATTTATTCGAATATGTTTTTCTTTTAAAAACTAGTTTAGTCACTTCATTTAAATACGAATTGGCCTGTCCTATAAAAATGTATTTTTTATATGTACTGAGGACTTGTTCCACGTCGGGGATTCATTTTTCTTAATACTTTAATAACTTACACGTTTCATTCTTAGATTTGCGTGAATATTTGTCATTTTAAGTAAAACCATCTTTTCGGATTTTTTCGCAGATTTATTTTGATTTTGGTTCCCGACATTTCGAATGCTTTACAGCAATCATGGTCACGGGAGTGTGTAATTTTGTGGGTAAGTAATGTTTGTAACAACTATTTATTAACCTTTGATACGTCTTAATACCTTAGTCTCTTTTATTTAAATGGAAATGCGTAAATATATTTCCCAACGTCATTTGGGTACTAAATTTCATCCAAATCCGTTCTGCCCTTTCGGCGTGAAATAGTAACAAACATACATATACACACGTAGAAACTTATACTTTTGAAAGTAGTACAATATACATAAACCTTGAAATAAAATATATTATATTTAATACATGTTCTTTAATTATGACACTTAACCACTTTTCTTAAATATTAAACAATAATCCTAGAAAACGTTTTGAAATCAGCACAAATTTTAACTTTTTTCGCCGGCATAATTTGTAGGTGGTTTATTTTTATATTGGTCTGCTATCAATAGATTTACTATTTGCAGCTGCAACTCCATCGAATTTCGTTCAGGCATGTTTCTCAGCGTGGCCGCTACGTACTTGCCGAAACTTTCAAAGGAATCTTCTTGTTTATTTGCCATCTTTTGCAAATAGGATGACATTTCCCTTAATATGGGTACTATATCATTGGTATCTGTTTTTCCCCCAAACATTGAGCTGCTATTCATATCAGTATCCTCGCCGCCGGAATTGTTATGATCTTCTTGTTCAAGCGCGTCCGGGTCGGGTTTGATCGTCACCTCGTGGATGGCCTAAAAGATGTAAAAAGAAAATCTTTAATATTATATCAATTCTTATATAATATGTATATTAAAGGTACACGTTTTATAATATATTAAATAAATAAATAAATAAAATATTAAAAGAACTTTTTATATGAACAATTATTATTTTTATCTAAACTCTACATATAATTAAGAGTATATAAGTAATTTTATATAGATAGTGTTCTAAAACAATTTAGCTAGATTTAGAATCCCGGTTGCCCTCCAACCGGGATTGCAATCTAGGACCACATGAACAAGGATCTCATCATAGGAACATCTAGGTTTTCTAAATTATTTCCTTTATTTTAAATAAAACTATCATTTCGGATTATTTCGCGGATTTATTTGGATTTTTGGTTCCCGACATTTCGAATGCTTTACAGCAATCATGGTCACGGGAGAAGTACTAGGTCACTGTAAGGTACTCTGGTGCCATTTTTGATTTTTTGTGCGTAAGTTCGAATTTGTGTTAAGACAATTAGAACTTTCGATTTTTGAATTTAATTCTTTGGTTTGACTTAAGTCTTAACGACAAATGTCGACGTCACTTTTTGAAGAGATATTTATATGTGTATCTATGATTTTATATATCAACTAGCATTGCCCGCGGACTCCCCCGCGTTCAGATGACCAAAAACCAAATTCTTAGGTTTTACATATTACTATACTCTTACATTGCAGATTTGGAATTTTTTCAGAAATGAGACATTTTCCCGCGGTAAAAAGTATCCTATATGTTGACCCAGATAACCAGCTATCACCATACAAAATTTCATCAAAATCCCTCCAGTGGTTTTTCCGTGATGCGGTAACAGACAAACAGACAAACAAAAATGCTAACAACTATAGATTCGGCCTCGTATCGATAATAATGTCTATTTCAATAAGATTTTTCAAAAAATATTTCATGTACAGATTCGGCTCAGTTAAAATTTTATTATATGTATAGATGTGTAGGTATTAATGTTTTTAAAATAAACATTATAGGTTTAGTATAACAATAAAATATACGTAAATGATTCACTCTCATCCGCGCTGGCCGCCTTTTAATTCCACAGATCTGCCAGTTTGGACACCGGCCAAAGCTCTATCACAGTTGTAACCTATCTCACTATGTATATGTAAGTTTTCAAAGAAATATCTTTACTATTGGTCCGAGTGTATGGAGTACATTTTTATCTATACATATAATAAAATTGTAACTAAGCCGAATCTGTACATTAAATATTTTTTGGAAAATCTTATTGAAATAAACATTATTATCGATATAGAGGCCGAATCTGTAGTTTTTAGAATTTTTGTCTGTCTGTCTGTTACCGCATTACAGAAAAACCACTGGAGGGATTTTGATGAAATTTGGTATGGTGATAGCTGGTTATCTGGGTCAACATATAGAATACTTTTTACCGCGGGAAAAAGGTTTCATTTCTGAGAAAAAATACAAAAACTGCAATGTAAGAGTATACTAATATATAAAACCTAAGAATTTGGTTTTTGGTCATCTGAACGCGGGCGGAGCCGCGGGCAATGCTAGTATATTATAAACCGACTTAAGAAAGTACTTTGTAGTTTATTCCTTTCGGTAAAAATTTACGCGATATCGTCGCCTATTGTTAATCGATAGTAATAATACTATTTCGAATGATATCTTATGGTACATTAATGGAGATCTTATATAGGTGTATACCACAGAAATCTTAATAATAAGGTAATAGAAATGCCATTGCGGTCTTTTAGTAGGTACTGGGACGCGTGTCGCCGGCTTGCAGCTACCAACACATTGACAAACAATAAATACACACTATCGCCCACACATGCATTTTGCATTGTTGCAACAAAAATTAAACTTTAAGCGATGACATTACGCAATATTTTCTAAAAACGCATAATCTCAGATGGCGTGATCCCTGTGACCAATAATAAACGTGTGCGAAAAGCACAGAATGATATCGCGCGCTCACTTTTAGTGCAGTACAAAGCGCATAATGCTCATATCGATAATTTTCCGTTGAGTCTTGCAACAATAGGTAACTAATTTATTGAAAGTGTTTTGTTTCATTCCTCGACGCGCTTTTAGACGATTTATTTATTTTCATAAAGGGAATACGATAAAACGTTAAATGTAAGTAATTTTTTTTATTATTATATAGTTATACAAAAGTTATGCAAACTATTTGTTAAAATCCTATACATTTTTAACAATGACTTAAAAAAAATTATAGAATTTCTATGTTGTTTATCAAACAACTCGCCCTTAGAATTATTTACTCAATCAAATCAAAATATTCTTTATTCAAATAGACTTTTACAAGTTCTTTTGAATCGTCATTTTTACATGATTAAACTTTACATTAAATGTCAGTCTGTAAGTCTGTGAGTATGTTACCACCGACTCGGAATGCTGATCTGCTGTGAATAAAATAATATAAAATATCAATACCAATGTTTATGCTTACATCAACTATCTCTGGAAATTCACATTTAGACGTTGATGGCGTCAACGTCGGCTGCAAATTATCTGTTGCCTGAAATATTTGTTCATTAGTAAGTCCCGTTCTTATGAACTTTTCTTGCCCAAAGTTAATAGGCCACAGGTATAATACATTTTTATTCTTACCGTAATCAGTCTCCATATGTCGACTGTCGGTACTGCTGATTTGATCAAAGTCCGCCTTTTTGTTGACGAGTTAAATTGTTCATTTGTGAAATGAACAGAACAAATTCTGCTATACTTCGTTGGGAACCAATTTGTTTTTCCAGTAGCAAATATCCATTTATCTTTAATATCTGGATCTTTTGGGAACCTGTCATAATAGCATTGGATAAAGTAAACAGATACACAAATAAATATGCATAAATATATTGTACGTATCTTTTTTCTTTATCTTTTTCTTTCCCGGCTTCTCATTGATCAAATTTAATCAATTATCCTTACAATATAATAATTTGTATAATTATTTTGACATAAAAAAAATATTTGGTAAATGCAGAACATGTCAATGATACAAGGATATTCAACGCATACTGTTTTTGACTTACCCATATACATAACAATAATAAGCCTACCTCCTAATAATTTTCTGAATGAAAAAGTAGTTTAAAAGTACGAATTTACAGATAATCGTTGATAAATGACTTTTTATAAATTATTCAGACAGAAAGAAAACATACATAATGAGATGTAACAATTAAATATTTAACGAAAAATATTAAGCCAAACGTAATAAATTTTCGATAAAAAATTGTGGTGGCACGTCACTAATTCGCGGCTAACTTATGCGGCGTGTCCTTGGAATTTACGTACGCGACAATATTGTTCTTTACGCATGACTATTATTTCATTGCTGCTTTTAGCAGTTGTAATAGTAGACATGAACAAGCTTAAGTGGTAATGGTTATTGAATTGAAAAAAAAAACGTTTTTCTGCGATAATCGTAGTAGCGGTGGTGAAAACATTTGATTTGGCTATATTTCTTAAAAACGACATTATTTCAAAAATTAAGTACTTACATATGAAATGTTATCCCTTTATTTGTAAAGTTAGAAATTGTGGAAGAATTTCTGCAGTTGGATATGCTGCAAAACACCATGTTTACCTCTCCGTGTCTCAAATAACACTAGTTACCGCAACAAACGCTTTACACGCGCTTGTGACCTACGAGTCATACCATGCTACCGTGCGCGGCGACAAGGTCACGCGTCTATGCCACTTCTATTACCTTATTATTAAGATTTCTGTGGTATATATATTTTAACAAAAAATTCCACCACTAGGTGTGAAATAATTTTTAAGTTACATAGATCTCTGTGTATCTTTTTAATTAATATGTAATTATTTTAAACAAGCCATTAGCAATCTTATAATGGCTAATATCAAAAGTGCCATTTTTATTAAGTACGACATTTAATTGATACCTACTTGTGTTCTGTTGAGACGAAGAAAAACTATGTATTATGCTTTTTTGAAGTTAAATATAATTATACTAATATTCAATAATAGTTTAGGTATTAATAAGTATGTTTCGAAACACCTGTCCAGATGTACATAATTTTTTTATTTAAATTTTATAGCTAAGCATATTTGTTGTTAGCTGAAGATTAAAAGTTATAAAAATTGTCAATAAATAATAATTATAAAACCCTTACAAAGCTAATAATATTAGTAGGTTTTAGTAGAAATTGTACAAGTTAGTTGTTTTAATTGTGCATTGTACAGGTAGGGAAGCTAAAACAAAGATTAGTTACGTTTCTATAAAGTGGCGCTAATTTTAACGCTTCAACAAAAATTAGACTACATGGTTTTCATTATAACTTGAGACTTTGTCTGGAACTCGAACCTAATACTTCCGAACATGCAGCCGTACATGTTAGCCAGTATACGTAGGTATGTAATATGAATACAGATAATATGAAAGTGACATCAACAGTCTAAAGTCAGATAGCAACAGCAGTATAGTGACGAAAACTTGCTTCACGTTTACATAGAACATGAGTAATGCACTTTATCAAAATCGGAAGACCCACGTGTAATCTTTCAACGAAATGTAATAGCTTTTTAACATACCTAATACACTGTTGTCAAGATATATATATAAAAAAATGTACGAGCCTATACTAATATTATAAAGATGAAGTGTGTTTTTTTTGTTTGAAGCTTACTAATTGAGGAAAGACTCTTAATTCATGTTCATGTTTCGACCCTTAAATAGTACTTTTACGTAAATAATCTAGGCGTGAAAAGCCACGAACAAACGCTAGTGTATAAATAAAACCGACAACTAAAAACTCGCCGTCACTTTGTCATCGTCAATAAAGAATAAAATATTTTATAATATTGGTAATAACATATATATAGGCAAAGAGAAAACAGATCAGTGCCTTTTCTCCTCAGTTCGTCAACCGATTTTCTTTTTTTCTTTTTTCTTTTTTTGTTTAATAAATAGCTATTGAAGAGCATTAGTGTTGTCAATAAAAATAGTTTAGAAACATTTTTTTATGTATAAGTAAATTCTATTCATATATGTTTTACTTAAATTATCAATCATGATTATGAATTTCGACCACTCGGCGAACACTAGTGAGACAATAACAATATTTAAAGGCAATGTTATTGATAAAATAAAAGGTCTTTAAATACTTTTTCAAAATATGTAAGGAGTTTTTGGATTGGTTTTATATCTAAACGAAACATAAACTATTTCGAAATATAAGTCACCATTGAGTACCCAGGTGCCGATCAGTCTGCCGCGCCCTGATAACACCGCGCGTTGATAACGATTGATAACGTTGATAATTTCTTGAAACCACTAGATCACGTATGAACCTGATGCAACAGATAGATTTATTTAGAATATGATTGAGTCATAATTATCTAGATCTCAGTTAGATCATTTCTATGTATGCATAATATTGTATTTATAACAAAATTTCATGAATCATGAGAATAGTTCTATTTCATTTATCATGATGCATGACTTGTTTGGCTGCAGTTTTTACTAAAATTTTATATTATGTTGCTTAAAACAATCATATCAGGCAAGTAGATATGCCGAGATAATAATATACGAGGTGTGGCTATTAATTTCGTTTTCTTACATGTTTTTAATTTTTATAAATAAATAAATATAAATATATTGGGATATTAACACACAGCACCATCTAGTTCCATGGTAAGCTATGGGGCTTGTGTTATGGATACCAGATAGCTAATACACTACACATATGTAACTTTAAATACATACATATAATAAATATACTCCCATGATTGGAGTACAAGCATTCGTGCTCATCACACAAATGAATGTCCCCAGCGGGACTCGAACCCGCGACCGCTGGCACAGAAAGTAGGGTCACTACAAACTGAGCCAAACGTGTTGTCATATTTAATTATTATTTATTATCAAATTTTATATGCTCTATGTATTAATCTTAATAGCTAGATTAAGCTTAAGCTATGTCATATATATATATATATATATATATATATATATATATATATATATGTCATATATAGCTATATAATTACTTCGAAAGGTTGCTGTTTTGTTTGAAAAATCAGAACCCATCGTTTTTCCTCTCTTCTGGATGTCGCTGAGATATCAGGTATTAGACGTTACCACTATTTTAAACGATAATTAATTAATGTAATTTTTTACTGCTACTAAAGATGAAAAAATTCTCAACTGCGAATCAATGTTTGAATTCAATTTGAATATATGTATGTATGTTTTTTTATGCATGTCATCATCTACACAAGCAAACACAACTGATTACAAGACCTGAAGTGTTGCTCTATATGAAGTTCATGAAATTCCACACATTATTAACATTAATTAACATGAAATAACATGATTTCTATGTTCAAAATAACTTGCACATTCGCCTTAGGGTACGGGAAAACGCCGAGAAGAAACATACAACTGTAAAACCTAAATAGCTCTCGACACACATATAAAGTCCACTAACTCGCACTTGGCTAGCGTGGTGGACTGTTGCCTGAACGGATTGAAAGAAGGCCCCTTCCTAGCGGTGGAGCATTAAAAAAATACTAATGCCCGATTTCACCAACAACCCATAAGCTACCACCTACGTATGGGATCCCTAGCTTAAAAGTTCCCTAAACAAGCCCCTAAATTAAATTTCGTTTTACCATCGTCAGAGCCCGTATTTCTAGTACCTATATTTAGGTGGCATTTTAACATTTAGGTGACCCCTATCTGTCGGTGAAACAGAAACTGTCCCCTAACAGCCCCCTAACCATGCTTAGGGGATCCCTTAAACTTAGATGACGTTGATGAAATCGGCCATAAATGAATAAAATTTGACTATCTTTTTAAAAAACTATTTCCAATTTATGTTTTGATATCTCTAAAACTCGTCAATAGTTACTATATAAAAAATAAAAGAAAATCGGTTGACAAACAGAGGGGATAAAGGAACTCAACTGCTTTGTCTTTGGAAGGCTTTAATCAATTTGCTAAACGGCAAGAGTATCCATCGTGCCTAAGTTTTTAAATGAATACCGGCTAATATTTAAAGGTGTTTCTTGTTTACAAACTGGAATCGTATATGTTATCGTAAGAACACTTCTTATCAATCGTTATCAGTGTCGTACGACAGTTTGTTTCGATAGCATTATTATATATTGTAATACTTGCGATATATTACTTTGCAAAAAGATTTCAATGTTTGGAAAACTAAGTAAGCGTGATGAAAAGTATAGAAGAAATTATCTTAAGATATTCGTTGCTTTGAGATGATATTTTACTTTTTTTATTCATATTCAACTTAACAACGTATTGGATTCCATCTACTTGTGTTTTCCCAATACTGAAGTTTATTTTAACGAGATCAGGCCTGTTATGACCCACGTTTGCTGTTTGCTTTATTGAACCCAAGACCCTCATAATGGCCATCAAAAGCCATCGTGGTGGGTAGAAAACTAATAGAAAATAGATAAATAAAAAGAAAAAATAAAGAATCATTTGAGGAAAATAAGCACTATGAGATAATATGCGTGTGACGTGTTTGCATATTGTATTTGAGATAATTTTTCGAGTCTCGAGACTTAGAAATATCAGGTAAATATGTCAGTATGAGTTCACATTTCGTGTTGAAAATGTATTTTTGTACAAAGGAAAAACAGGTATAAAAAATTCATTTCAATTGCGAAAATAATAAAAGTAGTTACGTTATTTGTAGTTTGGTTTAAACCGGTAGCGGTCGTGTGTCACGTGACCTATGATTTGGGTGAATCATACGATTTTAATAGTGCGATAAAATTTCACAAAAGCATATACGAATGACTCATTTATACCATATAAGGCACGATTTACATAAAACATCGTGTGTTCAAACGATAACTATTGTACTTGTAAATATGATATGCATTATGAGTTTTCAGATTTCTTTTTCGCTTTTTAAAGTAAATTTAAACGTTTTTCTTGTACTAGATTAGCCATTATCAATGTAATTCTACATCTATACTAAGATTTTTCTACACTAATATTTACTAATATATTCTTAGGTTTTACATATATATGAGTATACTCTTACATTGCAGTTTTTCAATCGACTTCAAAAAGGAGGAGGTTCTCAAGTCGACTGTTTTTTTTATGTTTGTTATAACCTTCCTTCGTCATTAACCTTCGTCATTTATTAACCGATTTGGACAATTTTTGTTTTGTTTGGAAGGGTATACTTCCAGATTGGTCCAATTTAAATTTAAAAAAAAAATACCACCCCTAAGGGTAGAAAAATAGCTAATAATGAATTTAACCTACTTCTAATTGTTATATTGACTTGAAACTTTGCAAGTGTTTCTATTTCCGTTGATAGTACAATCGTTCTGTATTGTTGACCTGATCTGATGGTAAGGCCAGAAGGTGGAACTCTTCAACGACTAATAGTAGATACTTTGAGTTTGGGCTTATTTTGTTTGGTTTTACAAGCCTAACACTTTAGAATTCTTACTTTGCTACTACTGTCTACACTAAAAAGGGAAAAATAAAAACTTTTTAACAAAAAAATTAAAACCGACTTTAAACAAAAGCACTAAAAAGTAAAAAATAACTGATTGGTAGTTTTCATTTACTATACATACCTAATCAAATATTTTCGAAGTCGGTGTGCTTTGCTTTGTATGGGCTGGCACCGATTTCGAAAATATTTGATTAGGTATGTATGTATTTAATAGGTAGGCTTTAATTACTTAGCCAAAGCTTATTCTTAAAATCTTATTGATAAAAACATTATTATTGATACAGAGGCCGAATCTATAGATTTTAGAATTTTTGTCTGTTCGTCTGTCTGTTACCGCATCACAGAAAAACTATTGGAGGGATTGTAATGAAATTTGTTATCAACATATAAGATACTTTTTACCGCGGGAAAATGTCTCATTTCTGAGAAAAAATACAAAAACTGCAATGTAAGAGTATACTAATATGTAATCTAAACGCGGGCGGAGCCGCGGGCAATGCTAGTTAAGTATATGTATATATTTTTAACATTTTTATAGTTTCCTTTCATATATACAAGTAGTTGCACTCTGATACTGTCTCCACACATCGCTTTCTATTTGATTGCGGCGAAATTAGAGCTCAAAAAACAAGTTGGACTGGTCAGCTTTCTCATGATCATATGCATCTATGCAAAAAGTTAGAACTTGGAACCTACTTGCGAAACTACTCGCCAATACCTAACTTTGTGGCAGACCTCTTTACAACATTATCGCGATAAAGTTAAATTCACAAAAAAAAATTAAGCTATGAAAATTACTTTAAAAGAGAGAGAGAGGGAGAAAAACAGAGAGAGGGATAGCATTATATTGTTTTTTTTTCCGTCGAGAAACATGTTAGAAGGAATCTACGTCAACCTAGAAATAAATACCTATACTTCAGAGTTCAGACTATATGCTGCAACTGGTAGGTATTTTAGAAAGCTAATATATAAACTTTTTTTAGAAATTAGCTTTTTTATATATATATATATCGTAAACTAATCATAACTTATAAGTGAGAAAATGAGATTGTGTGATAATGGAAAGGACAGGAATGGATGGCCTTATATTGTCCCGGTCTAGTCAGAAGTTCCCGTGGTATATATCAAGTAAGCGTAGATACTTAATCAACGTGAGGGCTAGTCTTATTAAATCTTAATAACAATGTGCGCAATATATCATATAATGGGTTTAACATAAATATTTTATGTAAATTGTAAATAAAGGCCTCGAGCCGATTACGCAGATACTGATTATCTAGTCGATTCAGTTTAAACCGGCTTATTGGATAATGGCCTATTTGGGGAAGATAAAATATCTATTTATTGTTGTAGACGTGTGCTAGTTGCTACTAATGATCGTGTATTGTTTTGGTGTCGGTCTCTTTCTTTTGCATTGATAAAAATGAAAAGGATGCAAAAATACATATAGAATATAGATACAAGTAATTTCTTTGTGATCTTCTTTACGCTGATATTAACTTGGTTCTGCTCATTCGGTAATTAAATAGGTAATGCTGCTCTAGACGTGACAGATATATGTAGATATTACGTCTATACTATAATAACAATTAAGACGTCTAAATGGTTGCTGTAAAGCATTCGAAACGTCGGGAACCAAAAATCAAAAAAAAAATCCGTAAAGATAGTTTTATTTATAACTAGCCTTGCCCGCGGCTCCGCCTGCGTTGAGATCACCAAAAACCAAATTCTTAGGTTTTACATATTAGTCTACTCTTACAATGCAGTTTTAGTATTTTTTCTCAGAAATGAGATATTTTCCCGCATTAAAAAGTATCCTACATGTTGACCCGGATAACCAGCTACCATCATACCAAATTTATCAAAATCTGTCCAATGGTTTTCTCGTGATGCGGTAACAGACAGACAGACAGACTGACAAAAATTCTAAAAACTATAGATTCGGACTCTGTATCGATAATAATGTCTATTTCAATAAGATTTTCCAAAAAATATTTAATGTACACATTCGACTTAGTTACAATTTTATTATATGTATGTCAAATATTTGCGTAAATCTAAAAAAGTATTATATAGAATTAATTTTACTAAGATTGATGAGGAAAAAACGAGAGGTGTCTTTTTTTGTTTGGAAATACAAATTAAAATGAATACAAATTAGTCAGCAGAGATAACATTGACCCACAATCGTTTTCGTACTCCAGACCCAGACCCAGTTTTGTCGCTGGTTTCTTCAGGGGCTTTTAAAGTCGAGTTTGCTTTTAAAGATAATAATTACAATATAAGTTTCAATACTTTCTTTCGCTTATGAAAAATATAATTTAATTGTACCGTTCAAATTGTAACTCGTGATATTTTTTACAACAAGACGGTCAGATATTATTAGTTAAAATATAATT